TGCCTTGCGATCCTTTCAAGGGTACTGCGGGTTGCCACACAATGTTCTCACTGTTAAGTTTACAAACATGATTCAGAAGATAAATTCTGAGATTTCAAATTTAAATCCATAGTTGTGGGCATTCTGAGTTCTTTGCAACAGAAAACATTGCTATATTATTTTTCTATAGGCAAAAAAAGAGTGAAAACTAAGAGTTGGCATTTTCCAAAGGGCGTCTCAAGTCTATCCAGGGACTTGAGTCTGAAAAGGTTGAGAACCACTGTCTTAGGTAATCTAAAGCCTGAGCAAAAGACAAGAATTCAGGGTTAGACCTGCCAAATCAGATCCTATGCTGTTGTAAATGGTGTCAGGGAGAGCTCTTCTGGCTGTTTGTGGCTGGTTACAAGAGAGCTGCAGTAGTCTGGTGCTGGTAGAATGGGAAGACTCTTTGACCTGCCTCTAAATTTTATCAGTTGAAGGAACCCAATATTGGAGAGCCCTCTTAGAGGTGGGTACCTCACACCCTGGATTGGTAGTAAATACTGGGAGGCCTCATGCTGCCACAAGAGAATTGGTAGCAGAGATGGGTGGTCACTAAGTAAGATGATAGGTGATTTCACCCATGAGGAAAATTGCTTTAGGCAGAGAGATTTGTAGGTTTAAATGTTGTACAGTCATTCGATTGTTCACTGCCTCTGATGACAAAGAGCCCTGTTACTCATAATAAGCCTAACGAAGGGTATTTGTGCCCAAAAGCTTGCAAAGAAGAATTTTTCCAACTATTTGAATTGATCTAATAAAAGATATCAGATTTACCTAAATAACCTTGTCTGCCTATGTCCTTAGACCAACATGGCTACAACCTATGCCCCTGTTACTCATAAGGCACTTGAGGCTTTGTTGTCAGGTTCCTGTCCTTGGGGACAGATGTTCAGGGGTATGTTAACGTCTAGCTCCCATTAAGTTTGAGGGGAATTGGGTGTATAAAAGTCTTTAAAAAAAGAAACAACCCAAACCGCCCCCCCCCCCCCCAAAACACCTGGTTCCTAGTCTGTTAATTCTTTCAGAGTCAGGGACTGTGTTTGGGTTCAGACTTATTGGCGGGGCACAGGGCTGTGATCCGTAGGTCTGATTTTGTACCCTGTTCTTGATACCAGCTGTTCTGTGGACAAGCCTCTTAACTTCTCTGAGTTTCCCCATCTTTTCAAATCATGCTCTTTACATGCCTCTTGGGAGTGTGTAAGGATTAACTAGTTACTGCTCACAAAGCACTCTCCTGCATAAGTGCTGAATGCTGCATTCTCTTGAGTAAAAACAGCCTTTAAAGTTGCTTTGTTGCTAAGGACAAAGAATAATAATGGAATGTGATCAGTTGGCTTTCGCATGGAGAAGCTGTATATGAGAGACCCTGCTGCTCTCTAACAGTAATTAGTTAACTCACTCCATACCTATACTCATTCTTCACTGACAGAACTATTGCTGCAGTTGCTGTACTAAACAAACCGGAGCCTCCATGCCTTTATGGCACACGAATATGGCACAGCCCATAGTATGTGGGGGGCTATTTCAAGCATCTTCTAGGGCGTGACAAGCTAAGGATATGTAACAAACAGATATTCTGAGATAGTTAGAGCCAGTCTAGAATGGCTGTGCCCCCTCCCCCTCCTTTTTGCTCATTTTCCCCTTACTGTACAAGTGAAGGGGCAAGCTGGAATGACTATAACCCCCTTTTTAAAATGAGGTTTTGGCTGACATTTGCTCATTTTGGGTGCCACCTGCCTCTTCAAGCCCAAAGATCTACCCCATCCTCTAGGGGCATGGCCAAGACACCCCAGGAAGCAGCAGAGGCTGTTGCCTGTTGCTAATCACGGCTATCTGCTGCTTCAAAGAGGCACAGAGTAGGTGGATGGCAGGAGGGGACTGGAAAGAAAAGTCTCATGAATAGGCATGAAACATCTGCCTACCCTGCTCCTTAGTAAGGAGCTTGACAGTGGAGCTGAGAGGTGGCAGGAAGGCGTAGGGAGGCAGGCAGAGGGAAATGGATTCTCACACAACTGGGTCAGGTGGGAACGTCCTCAGGCAAAAGAAGACGATTGAAGCAACCTACCCTGAGAAAAATCAGGGCTTAATAGAAGTACTGCCAGCACTGGGATACCTACCGGCACTTTCCCTTTTGATACATTTTCTGTTGAGGAAAGAG